ACACACACACACACACACATGCACCACACACACACACATGCACCACACACACACACACACTCACTCACACACACACACATACACACACGTGCACGTACACACAAACACACACACACACGCACACGCACACACACACACACACACACTCACACTTACCGTCGCCTTGTTCTCAAAGGACACACCTCCACCATTGGTCATGTTGGCCCCACAACCATGTTCCTTCTTCCGGCGCCTCATGACGACGACGATAACGACGATGACAACCACAACCACCGCCAAAGCGGCTATCGCCCCGCCCACAGCACCACCAACCGGCGAATCATCGTCTGCTTTACGACTGCACGAGTTGCCAGATAGGCTATAGTCGCCATGACACTTCAAGCACTGCGCGGGAAACGAGGAGTTGCAGGTATGGCAGCCTTCCGCGCAACGTCTGCAGCAGAAATCTGGCTCCTGAGTGGGCGTGTCTGAAGGGAGTGGTGCTTGGGTGACGGAACCGTTTGCGGAAGCGTTCTTTCCGGACATAGCTATGGGAGGGGGCGTGGTGGTGGACGTGGTGGTGGGCGTGGTTTGGGAGTATACGAGTGTAGCCCCGACTCCTGAGGATGCAACAGAAAGAAAGAGAGAACTGTGGTAATATTATCGTGGTGAAATCACAACATGCTCGTCAAAATAATTAAGTAAAAGAAACCGACTTTTTCCGCACTTCAGACAATTTTAATCAATACTTTTTAAAAATTCAATTTTTATTGTTTTAATTTCTTTATTTTCTATATTGTGTTGTTTTTTTGTGTGGGGAAGGGTTCAGAATTCCTCTCCCTCCTTTCCCTTCCACCCTCGCCTCCCCTTTCTCCCCCCCTCCTCCCTCCTCACCCCCCGCCCACCTTCACGTTACTAGGAATTTTCTCGGTCAGCCTCCACACCTCCATCCAATTTATCCTTGTTCCCTCCTTCCTCCTCATTCTCGTCATCCTAATCCTCCCTACTCCTTATTTCCCTCTCTCCCTTTCCCTTCTTCCAACTTCCCGGCTGTGACGTCTCAGAGAACCTCAGAGTTGGCATCCACTCCTCCTTCCATCACCCCCCCCCCTTCCTATTCCTCCTTCCACCCTCTCCTTCCTATTCTTTCTTTCCCTCTTCCCCCCTCACCCCCTCCCTCTTCCATGTTCTTTCCACTTCCCCCCCTCCCCTATCCTCGTCCCCTTCCACCCTCCCTCTTCCTCTCCCCCTCATTTTCTTCCCCCTCCATCCCATCGTCCCTCCTCCTCTCCTCTCCCCTCCTCCCTCTCCTCTCCTCCTCTTCCCCCTCCCTCCTCCTCCCCTCTCCCTCATCCCCTTCTCCCCTCCCTCCTCCTTCTCCTCCTCCTCCTCAACCCACCTTCTCGCCTCCGATGTCTCAAAGAGTCTCCAGCACTAGCATCCCCCTTCATCTCTTCTCTTCCTCTTTTCCCCTCACTCCCCCCTCTCTTCTCGTCTTCCTCCCTCCCTTTTCGTCTTTTCCCCTCCTTCCCCCTCCCCTCCCACTCCCTTCTCCTCTTCCCCCCTCCCTTCTCCTCCCCCCTCCCTCCTCCCCTCCTTCTCCTCCTCAACCCA